TAGCGATTTAATGCACAGTTCATTAAACATATAAATGTGGCGTAAACGCCTTTATCAGTGCAATTTTACGTGAATTGTATTAATAGGTATTTTAATCATTAAGCTAGATCTATCCCTCTATCTTTCACCCGCGAAAAGTCGCAAAGAAAACATATATCAAAAAGACACGCGCTATTGATGCGCGAAAGACTAGATTCGCTCACGCTGTTAATTCAATCGTCAAAGCCCGCGGACAAGGCGATAAAACGATCGAGAAAGTTCCGTATCCGCAAGAACGGGTTGAATACGAATTTCACGATACGCTAGGGTAAGTACTGTTACGCTTCATCGATCGAGACCGATCTCTGAGCCAATATCTCATCCTCGCTTGCGGTCTATTAGATTTCTACGGCTTCCGAGGGGTCACCGTCTCCCTGTCGTCTCTCTTCCTCTTTTCTCCATGGAGAAAAGGGCTAACGTAAACCGTGACTCTTTCAACGTCAATCCCTGAAAAGCGCGCGAGATGGATCTTATACATTTCCGACAGTCCGGGACTTACCTCGGAACGTTCGATTTCGGTATCCCGACCGTACACACGCGGAGAAATCGATAGCCAGTCGCCGAATCGACGGCTCGCCGGCAAGAGATCCACTGCTTGCAGTCACGACGATTTATCGGTATCCCCTATGATTCCTGCGGTAAGGTGCGCGAGCATTTCCAGTTCCCAGCTACATGTTAATGCCGCTCGTCGCATAATGTTTATGAATAGCTTTTACGATGTATCTTCTATATAGTCGCGCCTGAATCGTAGCAATTATTCAAATAGGAACAAAAAGGACATACAAATAAATCAATTTGGGTGTCGATGCGATAAATACACAACATGCGTTTAAGTTAATTATTTAAAATATTTAAGTATTTCGAAAAAACGTGTGATAAATAATTCTATAGTAGTGTCATTTCTATATTAAGAGTGGTAAATACTCCTTGCATGAGTTCTTGCAGTCAAATCTTTTTTTTCATAATTTACACACGACAACATCGTAATAATTCTCGCCGTAACGGCAGAGGAAAAATTTGAAGAAACTTTCTTTGGGGAGGCGAAGAAAGGCCGGGGATAAAAGTAGTAAAGTGTTCTGCTGTAAATTTCGGTGGTCGCGTACGCAATGCCGGACAAGTGTCGATAATAGGATCCTACAAGTTTCTTTTTTTCGCCGCGGCTGGTTTAGTACCCACTTTATCACGCGAGGTCGTTTCGTTTCTAGTGGATCATTCTGCACCCGACACATAGACGCAGGTGGGCACGCTTTATGGCTGACGTTAATATGATCAAACCTCATTGTGTTGGATGTCGTCGCTAGAGCCTAGCGATGAGATAGCACGTATTATTTGTCCTTACATGCAACATCAATGTCTCTTTTTCTTTCTCTCTTATTACTGTCGATGTAATCATCTCTCCCGTTTTATCGCGACGCGTTTGCATGTAATGACTTGATGTGCTCACGTACAGAAGCTACGAATTTCTCCTCGATTACGTTGCATTTATGACAATCCTAAATGAGAGAACACTGAATAATCAACTATCACCAAGATCACGATTCAGTTAATAAATTCTCAGTAAATCACGACAATAATCACCATTATTGTCGTGATGTTACTGCGATTATTGCAAATTTTTCGCAGAAAATATTAGAGAGAATTCCTTTTCTTTTGCAACGTACAACGCAACATATTTGCGATTACTTGTTTAATAAATTAGCGTATGACAAACAATATCTGCGATTGGGGCGTGCGACATCAATGTGCCATTCATTATGTAGCAAATTTACCGTTATGCATACACCTGTATACCTGATCAGCATGCTAGTAGAATATTTTTAACTAGATGCGTGTGCAATGCGCTAGACGAGCGTACATATTCATAGCTGATGAATAACGTGAATATTCAAGAATATAAAATTCGAGTGCTTGCGCTCCACTTACGGCCATGTAAATTTGTCATTCCGTTCATAAATTATGAGCCATAACGACACATTAATCTAGAGTTTGCCAATATAGCTGTGGTACATTATCGCAATTACGAAATAGCGTATCACGCATCAAACTCATCAAACTCATTGACAGCCGCGCGTTATTCGTGATTCTTTTAGATTTGTTCGTCAAACGCGGCATCGATATGATACCGGTCGAATTGACAAAGTCATATATCGCATACAAGTGTGATATGGATTTAAGAGATGTAATAAAAAAAGATCGTCTACAACGATCATATAACACGATACGACATTACTGTCTAAATAACATTCATCATCCTCTCTCGCAGAAAAGAAGAATCTTTTTATTCTCGTCCTTGACAGAAGGAACGATATTTCATCGGCAATTAAATCGCTCTAATAGTAGTAGAGGAAATTTGTTATCGCTGGGTACGTCGTAGAAAGTTTGCGACACTTACATCTTAAGTGTAAAGCGTGCGCACTGCAGAAAGTTATTATTAGTTTCACAGGAAAGCGCACTTTCCGGCTTGGAGACGAGCGTAAAATACCGGGAAACAACGTTACGTCGTTTGCAAAGTTAGCATCGTGCGAGCATAGCACATACATAGCACTTTCCCGAACGGAGTGAGAAAATTGTAGAATTTCGATCCATCATTCGTACGCTCCCGTTTCCGTTTCGTTTCTCTCTCTTTCTCTCGCGGATTCTCGACCCGGATCTCTTCCATACGGTTTCTCGCCGTACGACGGCGGTGGCGGTCTGGCATAGCCATTAGAATTTACCGTCTCGCGGCTGACATTATCTGCGACGAAATACGTTATTTTTCGGGGAGCTAACGCGTATATACGTTTAGCAGAACATTACCCTCGTTGACGCGCGTGAGTTTGTCCGCGGACGTTATTTATTGCTTATTCGCTTCACTCGGCGTCGTACGGTAAACAGCACTGTACGAGGACGAGGGACCTATAAAGTGATCCTGGATGCACGCGTTATTGAGCTCAGTGTATACCGTGTCCCGACACGCAATTTGTTCTTTCTCTCACAGTTAAGCGTGAAAAAATTGGAAAAACTTGACCATCCGTTTCCGATAGAACAACTTCCTCCGTCTATTTATCGGCGCACTTAATTTCTGCGGTAATTACCTTATCGACGTCCGTTTCGCTCCCGTTCGATTAAAAAACGAAGACGAGGAAAAAGGCGAGAATACGCAGAAGTTAGCCCTTGGTAGGTTTTCACGGTGCGAACCGACGATATTTTCACGTAACCAACCAATTACGTAAATGAAACCCACTCTCACTAGTCTCACTACGACGACATTGCTCATTCTCACTTTACGTAATTACAGTTAGTGCACAAACGTGCCATGGATCTGTGATCGAAATCTACCGATATCGCTTTGAAAACATTTCAATCTTCCTCTCGTGACCATTAATTCATGCCTTGACGATCTCAATGCTGAGGTGAAAAACTGCTCGTTTTCATTCTGTTATATCTTATATAATATTACTTTCAAAGCTAAAACGCAATCGACTTTTTTCAAAGATAAAAAACGAAAATATATTAATGTATACTTGACACATCTACAGCGTAACTACGTGCAAATAATTTGAAGCACTTGGCGAATAAAAGCAGATAGGTATATCGCTATTTTCGACGGTTTTACGATAGCTGCTTTACGGTAACCCTAAGCATCGTGTGGAGGAGAGTTTGAAAAACAGGATAGGAGCGACCTTCATAAGCTTCGGTGTCTCATAGGATAGCTCCCATTCGAGCCTCGAGCACCCTCATGACTCCGTTGTGCTGGTAAAGGTTCTCATTGTCACGCATTCCTACGTACGCCGCAGCTGTTGTTGTTCACCCGTATTAAGAGATAGATTTACATGAGTAAACACGTTGAGGTCTAGAGTCCCACGTACAAATTGAGATTAGAGTCAAGCCTTGGAGTATTTGAATAATTTGAATGCATGTAATTAAATGTTAAAGGACCATATGACCATATGACCATACGCGCATCGAAAGTATGGTTTCTGTATATAAACTTATAATTTATATAAAGAGAGAGACTTGATTTTGATGATGATTGATATATGTATATATTTATATATATTATAATATAATGAATCTATAGATCTAATGTGTCCTTTTTCATCGCATAATATATAATAGAAATTGTACGATATTGTAATCACATAATACTCAAATGCTGCTAAATTGCGCCTATATAATTGTCAATAAAAGACGGATTAAGTTTTGAGTTCGGAGTCACAAGCAAACGGGTAGACAGGAGTCAAGTCATCGACAGGAACTACTTGTCAGCTGAATTTATGGCGAATACTCAAGATATAAGACAAGCATCTTATTTTCATGAAAAAGCCGTAAAGTTCGGAGTCCGTCGAGCTTTCACCATCGTCCGTAACATACGGGTGATGATTCTACAAGCGTAAAGTACTCACAAAGTTTATACGCCGCTGCGTTACGGAGAAGTTATGTGTCGAGGGCTCTAGGGAAAATCATATTTCTACACGTATTCGCCGACATTCATGTTGAAGACATCAAAATAATCCTTTTAAACAACGACAGGAACCATATACCTCCGGGGCTGATGTTACCCTTATTCTTTCAGACTTCATAAAAGTATGTTACGTCTAAAGTAAAATTTTATTTTACATCGAGGTATCCTGTTTCCTAGACTGTGCGTCACGTTTCCCAGATTACATTTCAGTCGTTCGAAAAGTCCCGCGGGTGCGATAATCTTTCTTCTTTTTTTTTACGAAACTAGCAGATCTGATAATGATCTGCTAGTTATGATATAAGTTGGTAAGCCGTATCATTTATCGACATAGACGTCCTTTTTTTTCACGTTTAACGAAAGTCTCATGCCTGTCATCTTTTTAGTAAAATCCCAATTTTACAGTACTTTAGTTTGCACAAATTTATCTTTTCCGGAGGAAGTACCATGGGACGCGGCGAGGCAATTATTGATTAAGAAAAGTGATAAATCGCGTGTACAGCATGCAATGTATACTTACTAGTAGCGCTGACAGCTGGTCCGATGACCGAGTACTTGGGGTTCCCTGTAGCAGCCCCTGGGACCTTGTCCGGCTCTGAAACACATTATTGTAATTATCCCCAGAATATACAGTGCCGTTAATTACAACAGGGAGTCGCGTATGCAATGGACCGCAGCCAATCTACCTTAGCACAAAGGATCTGGCCCCATGATTCATCGTCTTGTAAATATGTAATGGTGTGTTTTTGTTCAAAATAAGAATACTTAACGCTTTAACGCTTAGATTTTGTCAAAATAATGATTAAATGTCGATATTGATCAAATTTAATGCACGTTGATCATATAATGAGCGAGGGCATTATCGACAATTATGCCTTGTAATAATACGATATATGTCGGAAACCCAGTTATCAACCCAGTTACGGTAATCAATATTATGATATGTTTATTTATCATTTTGTTGTATATCTGTTAATGGCAATATCGAAAAATATAGTAATAACAACGGGTAAGTTCAAAGAACAATCCAAATGTGTCCGAAAAATGTTTGGCCGATTACCAAGTAAGCAAAGAAGATGCCATTTCCAGAGTATAACGCAAGCTTTCTCTCCGGGTGTTACAGTTTGCTGGAAAGCTTCACGATCTTCCTTGCCGACCGTCAAAAGCTCCAGCATTACTGGAAAGCTTCGCAAAAGCTCTGTTTCATGGCGCTTTCATACTTCAGCATAGCGACGCGTTATGTTGAGCTTTTGAACTTCTTCTACTTGAAGCTGCGGTACCGACCGGGTTCGCAACTTGGCATATAAATTTCGATAATTCAATATTATCAACTAAATTTTTAATAACTGCTTCTTTTCGACTTTATAATCATTCTTTTTCAATCGATTATATTTAAAACTACATATTTATGTCTATTACAAGGATGTGATTGTACTTTAATGAAGATATTGAAGATACAATTTATATGAAAAACTCTATTTACAAGACGAGAATTTTCATAATACTATGACATTGAATGATCAATGGAGATTTATAAAAACAAAACAAAAAAATTTGACTATCGCGAATATGCTGGTTTTCATAAAACCATAAAATTGTCAAATAAGTGGGAAAGATGAGCAATCTGGATTTGAACACAGCGGAATCTAAAAGATTTCTACGACTATTCCTCAGCACGCGATATAAGGCAATGGATAATTTAATGGCTCGTCCCATGACTGTAGGGATTCACCTGAGCGGAAATGCTATCAATAGCCGCGGTCTTACACATCGCAGGAGATGAGACGGTGCCGAAGAAAGAGGAATGTGGCCGTGGCGGGAGGACGGTCGGAAGGATGGACTTTCGTGATGTCGACGAGTAATCATCGTTCGTTACTGACCAGGATGTAGCGCATCGTCCAATGGCTGGAATTGGAACATCGCCTTGAAGCCCTGGCCCGGCCACTCGGAATTAGCGACGAACTCGACGTAGAGACCTGGTCCCGTGCTGAGTACCTCCACTTCCGCTCCCTGGTTGCAGAGTACGGCTATTGTGGGCGCCCCTGAATCCGTTCCGTCGTGCACCCTGATTAAATCCGCCCTATTCAGGCAACTGTAACAGGATGTACCTTTCGTTAGAAGCCGGCAACTTATCGGTACATTACGTTCAGTCGTGCTTAATTCCCACTCTGAAAAATTGGAATATTCTCTTTTAAGCTAATTGACACTTGTGCTGTTAACAAGTATAGAAATAAAGAATCCATCGATAAAATTTATGTTAACGTAATTTTGCTGCCTTAGTGTTAGTAGTGCCCCCTAAGTCAAAACTGTCAAAGCATCTTGCTTTGTAGAAGTTTACCTCCATAAAGATTTGAATCTTGTAATGGGACGCGCGAATAAAGAGAGAATCCACGAGATTCTCGGCGACGAAGGTATGTTAAGTTCGCTTTGAGTGCTGTGGCTCGTCTAGATAATGCGCGCGAGGGGAAACGAGACCGAAAGGGGAGACAAAAGAGATGAGAGATGGAAGACAGTTTCAGTGGGGTTGAAGGTGAAACTGTAAAGAGTGTACAGTGACAAAGGATGGCATCATCGGCAAGACGGGCGGTGGGCGGCAGGCCAAGGAGAGAGTCTCGACGACCGACGTGGCGATTCGTTCCATATGTGTACGTGAACTACTTCGCTCGATCGAACCGAAGAAGAGTATTACATCTCCGGTGCCTTCGGAAGCCTTAGGAATCGTGCACTACATCGACGGGATCGCGATCCGATCGATTTAAAGGCTTGATCGATGACGGCAGACGGGATAACCTTATTACTTGCACGGGTTAAGCAATTACGTTGGCAGAGAAAGATTATCGTCGGAAGAGCCAGAGATTAAAGAGCCACCCCTGTCCCGCCTGTCCGTTCCGCTTCCTTGCCTCTGAACCTACACGTGCGACTTCTGACCTCACTTACACGTACACGATAGCCACGATAGCGTCGCTCGTCGTTGACGTAATGCCGTAAAATATTTTATATCTACCGCGAATCAACAGAGACACGAGATTATATTTCGAATTTCGATCGATGGATTTGAACATTATAATGAGTAGACGCATGCAATCAGACTCAAATCAGTTTGAAACAATCAAATAGAAAAGTTGAACCATGAGGTTAGTGGTGCGCGTAAGTGAACTCAACGCGAAGGCAAGTAAATCCGTCTATCAAAGTTAATCTAGCGTAGCATCGCGCGCCTGGAGTGTGTACACGGAATTCTTCAAGTGCCCAACAAGATTTACTTCGGGCCATCACCGACTCCATTTTGCTCTCGTCGATTTTATTCGTATTTCGTCTACTATGTCTCAGTGGCTATTCCATGAATATCGTTAAAGTAGCGTTTACCTTTGGAAACTTGAATTCAAGCGTAAAAGCACGTTCAAGTATCGAATGGCGATACAAAGAACCGTTCTACAACTACTTTTTCTTTTTATTAAACTTTTCGCGAGTTAACGTATATAGTAAGGCCAGGTAAGGGATTATTCATTACTTATATCCGTAGGAAGGGATTATTGATACTGTCGATAGTTTCCCCAACTATAACTTTATATGAGCGAACGAGCGGCATATGTGCGTGTTATAAGCGTGCACTCGCGTAGAGTAGGAGTGTATCGAGTGCTGGATGGAGGAGTCTCTCGGTATCCATCAGCACCATTCACGATAATATCCGAGTGCATCTGACGGAGCGGCTTAACGTTGATATATGGAGGCATTTCTCAGCTCTTACCCGAGCTCTTACAGATTTTTACCACCAGTCTTGGAGGAAGTGCCATCGGCCACGACATAAATTAACGCTATCGATCGCAGATTTGTCGACCGTATATCGCGTATCGCCTTTCAATTCTCGCGTTAGGTTTAACCGAAGATATAATATACTGCAGCAATTATAATATTTAAATTAATATATTTACCAAATTTCTTTCCTAATCGGCATTTTTCTAATTGTAGAGAAAACACAATCATTCACAAGTTCATAATGCTGCAAATGTAAAATAAAATCTCTTTTTCGAATTATTTATTATCGCGTTATTGACTTTATTCACTAAAAAATAATTAGCGGCGTGTAAAGTTTTGATAAACGATTAAACGAAAATCCAGTTATGATCGTATGTATAGTGATGTTTCATGAAAGCATGAAAAGTGAATAATTGCGTAGGTCGATGTTATTTGGTCAGATTCAGATATTCTTCTCTGATTTAACATTACACAGCGAATGCATTCATTCGCCATAACCATTTCGTATAAATATGTCAGCGTAGAGCTAATATTGGGTCCATTTATCCCGTTATATAAACATCGTTGGATCCAACGTCGACATTCATGAGAATATGAATATATTCAATTAATTTTTACATACATAAAAGAATCACAAATATTATTTCTGTAAAGAGCGATTAATATATTATTATAAATATATTCTTAATAATCGTATTTTTGATAGACACATCTTTATCGTAAAAGTATGGAAGAGATTAGATGTGTGAATTATTCGAGAAAAACATATATCCCAATATTTTCGGAGTAAATAAATTACCTAGCGCTATGGGAATTAATTATTTAAAAATTGCAAATTTTGTCATAAAAGTAAATCCCGGTTTTTATCGCATTGGCAGCCAATTGCTCGTGAATCACTATATGCTACAGGCTATAGCCCGATAGAACGTGCGAAACAGAATATAGAGTGAAGTTTAAATGAGATTTGGTACTAGAGAGAAAGAGAGAGAGAGAGTTTTATACTCACAAAATAAAACTACCGCCAAATAAAGCAGACAGCTAAAAAATTTAGACAATAATATGTGTCTAGAATAATATATATACCTCTTTAAAATATTTATTAAAAAATCAATTTTTTCTTACTATATATAAGTACATCTAGTAAGTATGGATCAATTACAATGTTGATATATGTATAATATATAAAAGCAGATTTTATAAAAAAAAAAAATAAAACTATTTTAAATATTTTATCCGAAAATGCGCGGATACGAAAACTAGTTATTTTCAGAATGATATTTTCTTTCTATTTTCAGCTATGTTGCTTTCATACCGAGATTTGTGTAATAGCATAATACGATTTCAAAATTGCTTATTATTCATATCTTGTTGCACTCTCTGTAAAAATTACATTTGTTTTCGTATTATTTGAACTAGCCCCATTGTATACAATTTTCTCAGATTTTATGAACGCGTCACTTTTTACGCTCATGAGGTATTGTATTTGTAAAAATTGTTTTTTGAAATCATATTTTCTTCGCTGAGTTGTTTTACGATAATTATACAATTTGCTCATAAAACGTTATTATTTGATGTCAAAACCAAGTAAAAATTTCTCTGTTATCTTGAGATTATTTGCTTCAGCATTTTTTCAGTTTCTGCCGTTTTCAATCGCAAAATCATCGATTTTGATTTGAGAGTTTAAAGTTAAAAGGTCACTAACGGAATGAAATTAAGGGAGCTCAATACTGAATTAGGACAGAGTTCGAGGATTTATCAAGGATTAACTCCTGCACGCTGCAACTGCAAGTCCCCAGGCACCTCTCGTTTCTCCAAGTCGACCTCCCAATCACCATTCTCAGCTCTAGGTCTTCGCGCAGAGAGGAACTTTATGTGGGTTAAGTAGAATCGTGGTCCACGTATTCAAAGGATTTAGAGGTCAGGTGTAACCGGCACACCCTACAATTTAAAAAGAGAGAATTCTCGGAAAAGTACGCTATCGCTGTCAAGTCGAGATCGTATTGCGGCGAAGTTAATTACAACGAGCGGTGAAATTCGTGCATTAAATTCGTATAGCTGGCTTTAAATCCTTAACAAAGACCGATAGGAACGTAGTTTTCTGGTACCGGTAGAATTCGTCGTAAATATCTTGGGAAAATATTCGTAGCGCTCGCAGGCGGAATATGAAGTTTACCGAGCTACATGTAAGAAACATGAGAGAGAGAGAGAGAGAGAGAGAGAGAGAGAGAGAGAGAGAGAGAG